TTTGAGGGGTAAATGCGTTGGCATAGCTAAAATTTCGATTCAGTGGTGTCTCAAATAACTTATTAGAGTTATATTTGGAATATCAATTAACAGTTTTACAAGTTAACCCTCCTTAGTGGCGTCCTGCCTCCTTTTCTAGTGGCATCACAGGCAGTAGATACAAGTTTATAAAGAAATAAATAAAAATTACTTGGAGATTAAAGAGGTGATTTGGAGACTAGGGCCGGACAAAGCTCTTGGTCCTGATGGGGTTAGTTTCCAGGTTTATTTTATCAGGGCATTTTGGGAAATCATCAACTATGGTTAATGCTTCTCTTTTAAAATCATTTTCAAAATTCCGGCTAATCGTTTAAGTAAAATTATTAGTCATCCAGTGGGTGATTACCAGACAAGCTTCATTAAGGGTCGTAATATTCTGAAAGGAATAGCCACAGCACAGGAAGTTACTCAACATCTTGCTAGAACCAAGCAACAAGGCTTTCTTCTTAAATTAGATTCTGAAAAAGGCATATGATACAATTGATTGGAGACGTGTGACCGAAAGTTTAGTAGTCATGGGTATTGGCAGTAAGTGGATCGAATAGATAAAAGGGTGGCTTAGATCAGCAAAAGTTACTATTATGGTCAATGGTCATATAGGAAAGGAAACTCACCGTAGGAGAGGGTTAAAACAAGGAGACCGTTATTAGGAATTCACCACGGGAGAGGTTTAAGACAAGGAGACCATTTGTCACCTCGGATTTTTGACGGTCTAAATTATATGGTCTCCCAATGCCACTAATTAGGTTTGATTGAGAGTTTGTGGTCGAAATCCAATGTGAATTCAGCAGTTAATCTTCATTATGCAGATGATACTTTACTCTTTTGTAACGATAACCTTGATCAAGCAATGATTCTCAAGTGGATTTTATTTTTGCTTTGAAAGATGGTCATGACTCAAAATTAATTTCAATAAGAGTTCCCTAATTTTCTTTGGAAAAAATTCCATGGGGTGTTTTCTTATATTTCTAGTATTCAGTTGTCCAATTCAGGGATTATCTATCAAATATTTGGGGCTTCCCATGAGAGGAGGGTCACTTAGGAAATCAAATTAGAGAATTCTCATACATAAAGTGAATAGAAGGTTAGAGGATAGAAAGGAAAATATCTATCTTTGAGAGGAAGAATTGCTCTTATTAATTCTACTCTCTACTTTCTTTCCTTCTTTTATCTTTGAGTTTGACTTGAAGAAGAAATTGATGAGACATGACATGGATCATCTAAAGAGAAGGGAGGATATAACCTAGTACGATGAGATCAAGTATGTAAGAAAGAAGGAATTTGGGGGCCTTGGAGTCTCTAACTTGAGAGATTTTAGTATCGCGTTGCTTTTGAAATGGGGGTGAAAGATTTTTATTTCTAGCCTAGTAAGCCATGGTCTAGGCTCATTGCTCAGAATCATTTATCAATTAGTGGTTGATGGCAGGATGGAGAGAGAAACTCTAGAAGTCCTTCATCGCTCTAGAAAAGTTTGACAAAACCAAAAGATTGGTTTATGTCAATGATTTCCTTCACCATTAGAAATGGAAAT